AGCCTTGTGAAACTTTCCCTACTCCTTTTCCCTGGGCAATTAAGTGTGTTGATGAGCAAGGGCATTTGCCACCTGAATCAGCCAAGGTGGAGGAGGAGGTTGCATCAGTCGCTCCAACCCCTCCTTCTGAGCAAGACTGTGGAGAGGGTCTGGCATAGCACTGTCAGCAGTTACAAGATGTCCTCTAGAACCGAGGCTGTTGGAAAGTATGTCTGGTCAAATGTCTGAAATCAGATATTTTGACATGTGTGGAGGCCCCAGACTGCGGGTCCAGAGCAAGAGATATGGACTGTATATCCATCAGAAGATTCTCCTACTGAAGACCAAACTGTACATTACAGGTAGCCCATCATTAGAAGAAGGAATCCTCCAGAACAGAGCCAAACAGCCCGAAAAAACTACAACAGCCCTCGGATCCCGGCCATGAAAGCCTTCGAGAATACAAATCCCTTAACTATTGACAATAGCTGATTGCCACACCAGGAGCTTTTCCACCTCTTGTAAAAATAAGCTTGTTTTATTTTCTGATCGGTCTTCTGGACATACCCACGGGCTTCATTTACAAGCCTTATTTCTCAAGCAGGAAGCTCTGCCAGAATTGCATTTCTGATATATTGACATGCTAAGAATTAGAATAAGTTATCTGTAACACACCGTTTGCGACGCTGTTGCCCAATTTATTTCCATGAGATTTGCACAGGAGATCTCCCTGGTGCCTTGGGAGTGGACTACTATGTTTTAGATGCTAGAATATGGTAAATGATAGTGGTGGTACCGGTATAGCGACGGTGGTAGGATCAATGACTTCTAAAATAAACCTCTGCTGATGAAATGGGCCTACTGTAGTGCAATTTACTACACAAAGCAACAGGGTTTTGCCTAATGTTATTATTAATTTTCCTGTATTATGGTAGTATCTAGATGAGCGACCTTAATGCCTTCTGCTCAATGCCTTTTCCACTACAGAGCAGTTTAGGACATACTGTTACATGTCTTAAATATGGGATGACGCCTCCTTGTGCCCTCTAGTGACTAAAACATTTTTAAAAATCAAACAAATTTGGGTGTGACAAAAGGGTTTCAGGGGGCGCTAACAAACAACAGAATTATAGAATAGTAGAGTTGGAAGGGGCCCATAAGGCCATCAAATCCACCACCCCTTGCTCAACGCAGGATTCCAAATCAAAGTAGATGCAACAGATGGTTGTCTAATTTTGTCTTGACTGCCTCCAGCATTGGTGTGTTCACCATCTCCCGAGGCAATTGGTTCTATTGTCATATAGTTCTAACAGTTAGGAAGTTTTTCCTGATATTCAACCAAAATCTGGCTTCCTGTAATTTGTGCCCATTATTTTTGTGTCTTGCACTCCGGGATTAACAGATCCTGCTGCTCTTATCTATGATTATCTTTCAGAATTTTAATTTGAAAATTGCTATCCTGTTTCTTCTTCTTGTTTTCTCAAGGCTAAACAGGCCCAGTTCTTTCAGTCTTTCTTCGTAGGCCTTGGATTCTGGCAACCTTATCAACCTTGTTGCCCACCTCTGAACTTGTTGCAGTTTGTCAGCATCCTTCTTCAAGTGCAGTGTCCAGAACTGGACACAATACTCAAGGTGAGGACTAACCAGTACCGAATGGAGGAGAACGAGTACTTCACAGGATTTGGAAACTATACTTCTGCTAATGCATCCTAAAATAACAGTGGTCTTTCCGGTGGTCATATCACACTGTCAGCTAATATAGCTTGCGATATACAATGATTCCATTATCCTTCTCAGTCGTAGTATTCCTGAGCTAAGTATCTCCCATCAGGACAAAGTTCCAAACAAAGTAGTCCTAGAATGAGCTGGAATATTCAGCATGTATACATTACTGAAACAGCGACGTCTACGTTGGCTTGGGCACATCGTGAGAATGGCTGATGGTCGGACTCCAAAGGATCTCCTGTATGGAGAATTAGTGCAGGCAAATCGCCCCAGAGGGAGACCACAGCTGCGATACAAGGATATCTGCAAGCGGGATCTTAAGGCCTTAGGAATAGACCTCAACAGATGGGAAACCCTGACATCTGACCGTTCAGCCTGGAGGCAGGCAGTGCATCACGGCCTCTCCCAGTTTGAAGAGACCCTTGTCCAGCAGGCCGAGGCAAAGAGGAAGTCACAAAAGCAGCAAAACCAGGGAGCTGGACAGGGGACAGATTGGATTTGTCTTCAGTGTGGAAGAGATTGTCACTCTTGAATTGACCTCTTCAGCCACACTAGATGCTGTTCCAAGTCCTCCATACAGAGCACGTCACCATAGTCTTTCGAGACTGAAGGATGCCTAACTATCTCCCATCTTATAACTGGGCAGTTGGTTCTCACTGCCCCAAGTGCTGAACTTTGCACTTATCCCTGTTAAATCTCATTCTGTCATTTTCAGCCCAGTGCTCAAGCCGATCAAGATCTTTTTGAATGTTGTTCCTGACTTCCAAGGTGTTAGCTATTGCACCCAACTTTGTCTCATCCACAAATATGAGAAACATTCTCTGCACCCCCCCCCCATCTACATAATGAATACAAATGGTGAGGAGCACCAGATGCTTTTCCATGCTGCCATTTCTAAGATCACTTCTTGGTGTAGGACTGGGGAACACCCACAGGAGAGCCACTGTCCGCTTAAAGCAAATGCAAAAAGTTTGTTTAAGTAGATCCTTTGAAAATTTAGCACAAAGAATCCTACAGTTCTGGAAAATTCACTCAGTAATCCTAGGAATGGCTGCCATGCCTCAATCACTATGACATTACCTAGAGTTTTCAGTGGAGATATAAAGTGGAAAGGTAGGGATCATTTAAAATTTTCAAACAGTGCGGTGGGGATTTCTTTAAAATCTGCTTTGTTTTAGAGTTTGTTGCTAATTCCTTAGATGTGGTCCGTACGGGCAAGTTAAGATTCCGTCAGAAGTAGTGTACTTACTTTGGTCACCACTACATATTGGTAGCAACCTGCCTAATACAAAGAACTCTCAAGGAACTCCGGAGATTCAAGACAAGGCATTTCCCATCCAGAGATGAGAAAGCACCATAGGGAGAGGCCTGGATCGAACCTCACACTTTTTGTATGCAAAATATGTGGTCTCTCACTGAGCACTGCCCTTCTCCATAGAACACCCACAAAACCTTTGTAGAGGCTCCTTTCTCCCACAACCAGTCTGTTATTGGCTGAAATCCAGCAGCATAATTTATGCCTTGCGAGGCTAATCTACAGTGGCAGTTTTGCAGAAATTAAAAAATGTCTGATTTCCCCAGCCCTGGTTCTGAGGCTCCCATGGAATCCCTTTCCTTGCCAGGAAGCTATTCGGCGTTACAGGACTCAGGAAGTATTTAAGTTCTGAAAATCGCCATGGCATGAATTATTTTATTGGTGGCGGCATTTTTTATTTTTTATTTTTTGAAATTAAAAACTTTCCCCATGTTCCACGGCTCTCAATAGCTTCCCCACGATCAAAGGATCCTGAAAGAAGTCTTGGGACCTTCCGGAGTTGAGTGGGATCTGAACATTTTAATTTCTGAAAAACTGCAGAGGCCTTGTGCACCATAAGGTTGTGCCACAGGATTTAAGCCATTGGCTGTCTCCTGGCTATGCTGATCAGGAGCAGCCGCCCAGGATCTGAGAAAGGATTCTTTCCCATCCTTACCCAGACTTGCTGGGGACTGAGTAAAGGAGCGCCAGCAATCCAGATATATGCTTGGCTTTCAACCTTCCATGTGGAGTAACAGAGTCACAAAATTATGGAGTTGGAAGGAGCCAATAAGGCCATCAAGTCCAACCCTGTGCTCAGTGCAGGGATCTAAATCAAAGGAGTTCTGATGGATGGTTGTCTAATTTCCTCTTGAAGGCTTCCAGAAGAGAACTGGTTGTATCCTTGGCCATACCGTTACGTTCTTTTGGGAGAAGCAATAGCCAGGCTGTTATTACACAGGGGAACCAAACAGCTTCCAAAATGCACACACCCTCCCACCAGTGTTCTGTAGCAGAGTGTGGTTCCTTAGCAGAGAGATTGTTATGGAAGTGTCCCCAAGGCCTGCCAATCAAAAAAGTCTTAGTGGTATTTTTTCTGTCTCCTCTGACTCTCGACAGATGGGTAATCACTTGAGACACAGAAAAAAAAGCAAGCATCTGCTATTCTCCTGGGCAGCTACCTGGCCACCTCCCTTTCCCACCCCAGATCAAAGCCATTCCTTCCCTAACAGCTTCTCCTTTGGGCTGTTCGGCTGCTCCACCCTTACCTCTCACTTTCATAGAGAAAGCCTAGCCACCTCTTCAGGTTAAGCCACTCTTGCTTCAGACATAACCTTTCCCCCACCTGTGGCATTCACAGGAGTGGCTCAGATCTCAGATGAGCAGAGAAAGCTGCTTAGCATGCATCAACCTGCTCTCTGGGCTCCTTGCTTAGACACGTGCATTGTCAGAATCTCCTGTTCCCATCCTAAAGCATGCCAGTGAGTGGGCTCAGGGTGTTAAATCCCCCTCCCTACATCCTTCTGCCCTGGAAAACCGAAAACGAAACTGAAGACCACAGCTACAGAAGGCAAGCATGAAAAGTCAAGTTTTATTGGGGAAGAATACTGTAGCAAGCCAGCTCAATAACACCACAATAACAAAGAGGACCCTCTTGAGACTGTTATTCCTAACCCACTCAGAAGAATTCCTCTGCCCCAGTCAAAGACCCACAGCTGCCATCTTCTTGCCTTGAATGAGAAAACCCCGAAGAATAATAATAAAAAAAGAGGTCCTATAGGAAGCAAAGACAACTGCTCTTGCTTAACTGTTTAGCTCCTATTTTGCTATCTTGGTCATTCAAAACGCAATTTAAATTTTCTGGTTTTTCATTTTTTTACTTCTGAGGTTGGCAGGTGTGTGAGCAATTAAAAAGTAATACATATATATATATAGATATAAAATTCAGTCCTCCGTGAAAAGTCAGTAAGAGCGTTGTGTTAACTGGACGCTGAATAATAATAAAAAAAGAGGTCCTATAGGAAGCAAAGACAACTGCTCTTGCTTAACTGTTTAGCTCCTATTTTGCTATCTTGGTCATTCAAAACGCAATTTAAATTTTCTGGTTTTTCATTTTTTTACTTCTGAGGTTGGCAGGTGTGTGAGCAATTAAAAAGTAATACATATATATATAGATATAAAATTCAGTCCTCCGTGAAAAGTCAGTAAGAGCGTTGTGTTAACTGGACGCTGTACCAAAGCAAGAGCTCGAGGCTATGGCGGAAGGGTCACATACCAGGAAGAACCAGAGCAGGGGCAGCAGTAAACCCCCAAGGCTGCCACACGAGGAGGGCTGGGTAGACGCTTGAGTCCCATGCATATGAATCAGTCCCCTTTTGCTGTCAAAATCCAACTGGAATTTCAGGAGCTGGAGACACATCTTATAAAAACAGGATGGGTAGGGAGAAGGAGACAAAAGAGAGAGAGAGAGGGACACAGGAGTTACCATGATTTTGGAGATCTGAAAAGTTCAGTTCTTTGGCTCTTCGCCAGCCTCTCCCGCTTCTTCTCCCGAGCACTCTGCCGTCCATAATGTGAGGTTGTCTCTGAGAAGCTGCATGATGAGGGTGCTGTCTTTGTAGGAGTCTTCGCTGAGTGTATGGAGGTCTGCCATGGCCTCGTCAAAGGTCGTCTTGGCCAGTTTGATGGCCTCTTCTGGAGCGTTGGCGATTTCGTAGTGGAAGACGGAGAAGTTGAGGGCAAGGCCGAGACGGATGGGGTTGGTGGGTTGCATATCCTTCTTGCTGATGTCCATCGCCTCCTGGTAAGCTTTCCGGGCGTTGTCGATGATCTGCTTGCGATCATCCCCAGAGGCCACCTCAGCCAGGTAGCGGAAGTAGTCGCCCTTCATCTTCAAATAGAACACTTTGCTCTCTGGGTCACCGGCTTTCGGGATGAGATATTTGTCCAGCAGACCCAAGACAATGTTGCAGACGCCCTTCAGCTCTTTCTCAATCTTCTCCCGATATTCGTTGACCAGCTGAGCTTTGTCATCCCCTTCTTCGGTCTTGTGTTCGATGCTGGAGATGACTCGCCAGGCAGACCTCTGACAGCCCACCACGTTCTTGTAGGCAACAGAAAGCAGGTTGCGCTCTTCGTTGGAGAGTTCAGCCCCATCTTCCACCACGGTTTTCATGAAATCTGCCATGTCCTCATAACGCTCGGCCTGTTCGGCCAGCTTGGCTTTCTGCACTTGGTGGTTCCTTGCCATCCTGAAGACAGTGGAAGGGATTGCTGGGCAGGAGGCTAGCTTCAAGATGGATCAGGCAGCTGCTTGAAGAGCTGTCAGAGTCTTTGCTGGGTTCAGCTGCTGGGATCGGCTTTTGGCTTGGCGTCTCAGCCTGGAGCAAGAACAAGGCGTGGTAAAGAAGCTCTCAACGATCCCTTCCCCCACTTCCCTTTCATGCAGCCTCTCCTTAAAAGGAAAGCTGCAGTGATTCACCTGGAGCAAAAAGAGTGAGTGAATGAATGCATACCTGCTGAGGATATGGAAATGCAGCCAGCTCTCAGGTCTCTTCAGTGAGAGGTCCTAGCAAAGTGTTCGTCGAAAAAAAGTGGGCCGAAGAACATGAACTTGAGGGAGAGTTTCCGTTCCCCCTTCAGGGGGCAGCGCGCACAAGACATCTTGCCTAACTTGACTGCTAAAGCTGGTCCTATTCCATGATACCTTTCCAGTTTTATGGTTCTAGCAGCCCAATGAAATCTCAAAATGTGAAATTGTCTTGCCTTTTAAACATGGAACCAGGTTATACAATCAGCAATTTGAGAGGTCAAGAATTTCCTGCAGAGGGTCTGCATGTTTGAATAATCTTTTTTTTAAAAAAAAAAAATAGTTTTGTAAACTAACATGTTAGGGAGGAAATTTCAGCCTGGCCTTTTAACCCATTTTGAGAGGGGTAAGACCATAAGTACACTAACCAAGAAAACTTTTATCAATTGATTGTGCTGATCATCAAACAATGCAATCCTAGACATGTCTGTTCAGACATTAAACTATTGTTGAGTTTAATCACACTTACTCCTAGCTATGTGGCTAAAAAGACTGATGTCTTGATTTTTTTTCATTCTTTTCCTTGTGGAGGAAGGTAGCTTTCCTAGTACCTGACTATCATCCAGTATCCTGTTTCCCAGAGGAGACAGCTAAATATTTCTGGATAGTTCATAATCAGAAAATGAAGGTATAAGCTCTCTCTGATGTTTGGCCCCGATACATCCCTTCTCAATGCTTAGTCACCTTGATCGATAGATACTGATGGATTTATCCTTCATAAATTTGCCTAATAATTAAGGACTGTGGGTGACTATTAATAGAGATGCTTGGTAATTTTGTTCCACTTCTTTTTATTAGCAAAATAATCAGTTCTCAAACTCATACATGGATTAGAATGTCGTTCACTTTTTAGTTTTTATAATTTGCCAAAACTTGTAACATGTGTTTGTCTCAAAAATGGCCTAAAAGAGGTATAAAATTGCACATAACTATAGCCAAAAAGTTATTTCCCTTCACATGATTCTAACCTCACCATAATGTCTAGAAACAGCTTCCTCTACATCTACCTACATACATCTGCCTTGGTATTAATTGACAAAGAAGCAGATTTCTCCACCTATATATACCACAATATAACCAATATTTCAGATGTTCACAATAGGTCTTAATTATGCCCTTAAATGTCATCCTTCCCCCCCTTAATCACTTGGTTTCTACCTCCTACCATGTACTCGGTGTATATAATCCTGTGCCTAACTCTTGTGCTCTATAGGTGTGAGAAAGTAGGTTGTAATCTATGAAAGCTCACACTAAAACGAATCTCTTAGGCGCCACAATAATTTTGTTCTTTTCTTTTATACATTAAAATGCATATTTTATGTTGAAATGCACACAGACATGTGGGTTTTAGGATAATATGTGTACAGAATGAATATTTTAGGATAAAAGACATACCAAAGTGCGTATTTTAAGATAAAATATATGCAAAAGTTATGCAGATCTTTGTGTGGACAGAGGCAAAAACGGGATGCATCCAACGTAGGAATGAATTCATGTGGAACTGCCCGTGACGGGCAAAAGACGGAGTGAATGAAACTATTTTTTCAGAAGCCATTTTCCACCACAAAATATATCGATGACTGTGCAAGCTAAATAGGCTACAGGTTGGTGCAAAACTGGGCAAAACGCCAAAGGGAGCAGAGCTAAAGGAAGAGGGATGTGATAAAAGAGGTTAGTTTGCTTTGTGTGTGTGTATCTACTGTATTTAGTTGTGGTTATGTTATGTAAGTTTGTTATGGTGAGTTAATTTTTTAAAAGTTTTTATTTATCTAAAACATAAACATAAAATACACAAATCACAATACAATATAACTGTGTTCCCCATCACCGTAGATGGGACCTCTTGCTATAATCTTCTTCCTCTATTTCTATTCTTCCTCCTCTTATTGTTCTCTTTTCCAGAACTGCATTGATTCTTGATTTGGCGTTTTCCCCTTTCCTCTTGTTAACATATATTCGAAGAATCTGCCCCATATTTCATAAAAACTATTCTTTTTCAACTCTCCTTTCTTAACCTTTAAATTACAAGTTAATTTATCATTTAGCGCTATATTCCATATCTCACTATACCATTCATCCATTTGAAATTCAGATTTTGATTTCCATTGCCTAGCTATTACTAATCTCACTGCTGTTAATAAATTAGTTATCAATGATCAGTTCTTTAATCATCTTATCATATTCCACATTCTCAAATATTGATAACAAAGCGATCTCAGGATTCAATGGTGAGTTAATGTTAATAGGAAAAAGGATTTTAATTTTAAAACAGTTCTTCATGCGGAACCTCCCCCCCCCTTAAAATTCCCCTTGTACCTTCAAGTGTCTAATACTTATTTTTTTAAAATGTTTTTTTTAAATGTTGAAAGTTATGATTCCCCCCCCTTCTCCTGGTGTGCTTGAGGCAGCTCAAACACAAGGGGGCTTTCTGAGCAAAAAAGCATTTTCATAAAACCACTTCATAATGGGGGGGGCACTGGATGGCCCCAGAGAACTGGGGAGTTGCGCGTGTCTACTTGTGGTTTCCACAGGCTCAACTCTCTTAATTCAAAGTCCGTGGTTTCCCCCACCCAATTCACTGAGGCTGAGAAACAAAGGTATTGGACCACGCTGTCTTCATTTATAGTTCTGTTTAAGCTCGGATTTGAAGGCTGTAGCCCAGAGAGACGCATTTAGTATAATCAGCCAAAACTGTTACAGGCATTAAGAGTTTCAAGGGCACGGACGTTGTTGGCTGGAGGATTTTTTTTTAAGCCTCCAAAATGTGCTTGCCACACCTAATTGCTTTAATCACTTCTTTAACGTACGGGGGAAAGTGGACTCCTCGCTTGAGAGGTGTGTACAGATTCCTGTCTTTCACGCTTGATGATTACAAACCCCAATGGTTCATGTGTGTGAATCAGCTATGACTGATCACCTACTGCAGACAATTGCTTTGAGGCGCATCCTAAAGAAGCCGCCTTATGCAGATTCTTTGCCCGCGTTGTCATTGTGTGGTCCTCTGTTGCCAATTTTGAGGGGCAGCAGCTCTCCATGACGAAGGGCCCAGAAGGGCATCTCTCCCACGGCCTGTTATCTCTTCTTTCCTTAGAGAAGAAGCCGGGGAAACATGGATTCCCTCAGTGCTTGGCCCTGGTCAACTCACTACTGGCTTCTTTCTCAGTCTATGGGAGGGTCCTTTTCAGCGTGAGATGGTTTCTCCTCATGAGGTGCCTGAGAGCCTTTGCATTCAAATTTGCTTAATAGTGGGGGTAAATGTTTTCCCACATGTAGAGGGGCTCCTCCCGGCTCCTTGTGAGCAGGTGAGCTTGGGCCCACAAGTAGGGTCTGCCTCCATGTTTCATTGGCTCTCTGTGGATCCTTGCCAAGGATATAGGGTGGGTGCAGGATGGATCCCTTCCCTGATGCAGTCTCTTCCCTTGGATGGACAATAAGGGGCAGGGGAAAAATCCAGAAAGAAAGATATAAAGGAGGTGGTTGCCTCTGGCAGGGAAGAGGAGGACTTTGGGGCTATTGGCAGGGAGAAAGAGGAAGTGAAGAACAGAAAATGGGTTGACATTCCAGAGTAGAGTGGTCAGCAGTCCATTGTTTACTCTGGCTTCGCTTCCCTAGCAGGAGGTCCGCTTTTAAGCTACACCCCCTCGATACTCAGAGGTTTACTGTAGAATCTGGGAATGAGTCTGGAGGGAACGGGCAGGGAGGTGTCCCTGAAAGAAGAAAAAAAGGACCTTCTGTGGCGACTGAACAGACCCCTGAGACTATTTAAGAGGCTGCACCAGAGGTCTGAAGATATTTGAGAGGGGAATCTAAAAGTCTGTAAACTTTGGCTGGTGGTTGGATTACTGGATATGGTGAAGGTAACCTCACCCTTGTCTGCCCGAAAGCAACTCGCAAGATGGGAGCGAATTTCCCCGCGGAGAATACTATGGCTTGAACTTGATGGTGGAGGTGAGGTGTAGATCGCTCTGAATAAGCATTCCCTGGTTTTGACAGCTGTTTCTGAGCCTCCTTCAGGATGATGGATGTTCCTGGGATCGCATCTGTGATGCCCATGCCTTTGGATGAGGCATCAACTTCACACTCTTCCGGTTACCGTTCTCCAACCCAATGACCTCTAGTTGTTTTAAGCTACAGCGCCTATAATTCCCTGTCATTCACTCTGCTCTCTGAGGTTAATAGAAAGGCACCAGAGTGGTGAAGGCTGAGTTAAAGTAGCAGGGCTGGGGAAAGAGCTTGACAAGCTTTGTATTGCTTGACAAGAAGCAATACAAAGCTAGGTAGATCAGCAGTCAAACAGTAAAGGGCAGCAACGTGTGCTGGAGACACATCAAACCTATGAAAAGGAAAATAATTCCCATTTTACAAGGGACATGGAACTTGGAGCCATAGTAAGCTGTTTTCTCTGTCTACCCAACATCTCGAAAACTCACATAGATTCAAATATATTTATTTCTAGAATTAATCATTAACTTTTCAACCGGATTTTTAATGTTTTCATATCTGTCCTACTTTGACAGCTTAGAAAAGTTCCTTTTTTTAAAAAAAAACCCAGACCCCTGATTTGGAGCTGCCCAAACCCCCCAGTAGTTAAGCTGGCTCAGGAATTCTGAGAATTTTTGTCCAAAAAGCCACGCCTCACAACGTTTCTACCTATTTGTCTGTCCCTCCACCCATCTACCACATTGGCAGTCAAGGAGCCTTTAAGAAACATTTTTGGGTGTTCCTGCCTGCTCTTTGTCATTCTCC